AATAAATCTCGATGTACTGATTCTAAAAACGTAAGCTTTTGATGCCCTCAGACCGAAATTTTCAAAATCTTTTTGAAATTCAAATTTTTAAAATCCCAAAAATGGTGATATATCGTTTTGGTAATTATAAAAAGTGTTTGGAATTTTCAAAGAGAATTTATAGAAAATCAATACGAGAAACATTAAAATATTGGTGGAGTCATATCAAGATTTTGGATTTTTTTTCAAAATAAAATATTCTGAATATCCAAAAAATAGCCATACTTCTTTTGGTGATTCTGGATATGTGGGTTAAATTTTTTAAGAAACGTTGCCAAAAAGGACTTCTGCAAGTTCAAATGAACCAAAAATGTTAGTAGTAATTTTCGAAAGTACTAAAAAAATTTCAAAATTTCATTGAAAATTTGGGCTTTTTGCAAAGTTACCTGAAAATACACAAAAAATTTAGGGAAATAAATCTCGATGTACTGATTCTAAAAACGCAAGATTTTGATGCCCTCAGACCGATATTTTCAAAATCTTTTTGAAATTCAAATTTTTAAAATCCCAAAAATGGCGATATATCGTTTTGGTAATTATAAAAAGTGTTTCGAATTTTCAAAGAGATTTTATAGAAAATCAATACGAGAAACTTTAGAATGTTGGTGGACTCATATCAAGATTTTGGATTTTTTTCAAAATAAAATTTTCTGAATATCCAAAAAATAGCCATAGTTGTTTTTGCTAATTCTGGATATGTGGGTGGAATTATCTAAGAAACGTTGCTAAAAAGGACTTCTGCAAGTTCAAATGAACAAAAAAATGTTAGTAGTAATTTTCGAAAGTACTAAAAAAATTTCAAAATTTCATTGAAAATTTGGGCTTTTTGCAAATTTACCTAAGAATACACAAAAAATTTAGGGAAATAAATCTCGATGTACTGATTCTAAAAACGCAAGCTTTTGGTGCCCTCAGAGCGAAATTTTCAAAATTTTTGAAATTCAAATTTTTAAAATCCCAAAAATGGCGATACATCGTTTTGGTAATTATAAAAAGTGTTTGTAATTTTCAAAGAGATTTTATAGAAAATCAATAGGAGAAACATTAGATTCTTGATGGACCCATATCAAGATTTTGGATTTTCTTTCAAAACAAAATTTTCTGAATATCCAAAAAATAGCCATACTTCTTTTGGTGATTCTGGATATGTGGGTGGAATTTTCTAAGAAACGTTGCTAAAAAGGACTTTTGCAAGTTCAAATGAACAAAAAAATGTTAGCAGTAATTTTCGAAAGTACTAAAAAAACTTCAAAATTTCATTGAAAATTTGGGCTTTTTGCAAAGTTACCTAAAAATACACAAAAAATTTAGGGAAATAAATCTCGATGTACTGATTCTAAAAACGCAAGATTTTGATGCCCTCAGACCGAAATTTTCAAAATCTTTTTGAAATTCAAATTTTTAAAATCCCAAAAATGGCGATATATCGTTTTGGTAATTATAAAAAGTGTTTGGAATTTTCAAAGAGAATTTATAGAAAATCAATACCAGAAACATTAGAATGTTGATGGACCCATATCAAGATTTTGGATTTTTTTCAAAATAAAATTTTCTGAATATCCAAAAAATAGCCATAGTTGTTTTTGCTGATTCTGGATATGTGGGTGGAATTATCTAAGAAAAGTTGCCAAAAAGAACTTATGCAAGTTCAAATGAACAAAAAAATGTTAGTAGTAATTTTCGAAAGCACTAAAAAAATTTCAAAATTTCATTGAAAATTTGGGATTTTTGCAAAGTTACCTAAAAATACACAAAAAATTTAGTGAAATAAATCTCGATGTACGATTCTAAAAACGTAAGCTCTTGATGCCCTCAGACCGAAATTTTCAAAATCTTTTTGAAATTCAAATTTTTAAAATCCCAAAAATGGCGATATATCGTTTTGGTAATTATAAAAAGTGTTTGGAATTTTCAAAGAGATTTTATAAAAAATCAATACGAGAAACATTAGAATGTTGGTGGACTGATATCAAGATTTTGAATTTTTTTTCAAAATAAAATATTCTGAATATCCAAAAAATAGCCATACTTCTTTTGGTGATTCTGGATATGTGGGTTAAATTTTTTAAGAAACGTTGCCAAAAAGAACTTCTGCAAGTTCAAATGAACAAAAAAATGTTAGTAGTAATTTTCGAAAGCACTAAAAAAATTTCAAAATTTCATTGAAAATTTGGGCTTTTTGCAAAGTTACCTGAAAATACACAAAAAATTTAGGGAAATAAATCTCGATGTACTGATTCTAAAAACGCAAGATTTTGATGCCCTCAGACCGAAATTTTCAAAATCTTTTTGAAATTCAAATTTTTAAAATCCCAAAAATGGAGATATATCGTTTTGGTAATTATAAAAAAAGTGTTTGGAATTTTCAAAGAGAATTTATAGAAAATCAATACCAGAAACATTAGAATGTTGATGGACCCATATCAAGATTTTGGATTTTTTTCAAAATAAAATTTTCTGAATATCCAAAAAAGAGCCACAATTGTTTTTGCTGATTCTGGATATGTGGGTGGAATTATCTAAGAAACGTTGCTAAAAGGGACTTCTGCAAGTTCAAATGAACAAAAAAATGTTAGTAGTAATTTTCGAAAGAACTAAAAAAATTTCAAAATTTCATTGAAAATTTGGGCTTTTTGCAAAGTTACCTAAAAATACACAAAAAATTTAGTGAAATAAATCTCGATGTATGATTCTAAAAACGTAAGCTCTTGATGCCCCCAGACCGAAATTTTCAAAATCTTTTTGAAATTCAAATTTTTAAAATCCCAAAAATGGCGATATATCGTTTTGGTAATTATAAAAAGTGCTTGGAATTTTCAAAGAGATTTTATAAAAAATCAATACGAGAAACATTAGAATGTTGGTGGACCCATATCAAGATTTTGGATTTTTTTTCAAAATAAAATATTCTGAATATCCAAAAAATAGCCATACTTCTTTTGGTGATTCTGGATATGTGGGTGGAATTTTCTAAGAAACGATGCTAAAAAGGACTTCTGCAAGTTCAAATAAACAAAAAAATGTTAGTAGTAATTTTCGAAAGTACTAAAAAAATTTCAAAATTTCATTGAAAATTTCGGTTTTTTGCAAAGTTACCTGAAAATACACAAAAAATTTAGGGAAATAAATCTCGATGTACTGATTCTAAAAACGCAAGCTTTTGATGCCCTCAGACCGAAATTTTCAAAATTTTTGAAATTCAAATTTTTAAAATCTCAAAAATGGCGATATATAGTTTTGGTAATTATAAAAAGTGTTTGGAATTTTCAAAGAAGTTTTATAGAAAATCAATACGAGAAACATTAGAATGCTGGTGGACCCATATCAAGATTTTGAATTTTTTTTCAAAATAAAATATTCTGAATATCCAAAAAATAGCCATACTTCTTTTGGTAATTCTGGATATGTGGGTGGAATTTTTTAAGAAACGTTGCCAAAAAGGACTTCTGCAAGTTCAAATGAACAAAAAAATATTAGAAGTAATTTTCGAAAGTACTAAAAAAATTTCACAATTTCATTGAAAATTTGGGCTTTTTGCAAAGTTACCTAAAAATACACAAAAAATTGAGGGAAATAAATCTCGATGTACTGATTCTAAAAACTTAAGCTTTTGATGGCCTCAGACCGAAATTTTCAAAATCTTTTTGAAATTCAAATTTTTAAAATCCCAAAAATGGCGATATATCCTTTTGGTAATTATAAAAAGTGTTTGGAATTTTCAAAGAGATTTTATAGAAAATCAATACGAGAAACATTAGAATGTTGGTGGACTCATTAAGATTTTGGATTTTTTTTCAAAATAAAATTTTCTGAATATCCAAAAAATAGCCACAGTTGTTTTTGCTGATTCTGGATATGTGGGTGGAATTTTCTAAGAAACAAAAATCTTTTTTCGTGGATTATGGAAAATTAACAAAAATATCTCTTTGGATGGTTTTTGAAAAGTGTTCCTAAAAAATCAAAAATTGAGTATTTAATTTTCGAAAGTGCTGAGATTAATATTATTGCCGCTTTTTTAAATAAATAAATAAAATTGAAGTTCAGTTCGAACAGTTTGAACCGCAGTTGACCCATTATTGGCCAGACGGCAGTAACATAATTTTCTCGCCATTTTTGCATAACAATAACGTCGTTTCCGATAATTCCATTGAATTTAAACTAGATTACTACAAAATGCGAATAGAGAACAACCCAGAAATCGATAAACGCATCAAGTAACTAAATAATATCAAGACGCCGCTAAACCTATACCACGCATTGTACATTAGCGCTAAATCCGGTCGATGTGCTGGCTCAACTTTAGTCGTAGTGTATGTAGTAAAGTAGCATTGCATATTGGGTGGTGTACAGGCCGCTGCGACCCTCCCACCGGTTGGCGGAGCATCTTACGTGGCTCCACTGTCTGCCGGAACGATGCTACCAAACCGTATGCTTCCATAGGTAACCGCAAGCTGTGCAAAACTCTAACGGACGCACTTTCTCATCTCCCGTCGCCGTAAAAATGGCCCGCAGACCACTACGGCGCCACGCAACTTCCGCCTCTAACGACCAAGGTCGCAATAGAGGCGAAAATTGCCCGCCGCTCCGCTGGTCCGCCATTTCTACAGCGGCGAGCTCAATATCTAGAGTCATCTGCCACTTCTGAACTCTTGCTAAGTCTAATCTTCCAGTGCATGGCGTCTCAAGAAGCTCAAATTTCAGACTCAAACCACTGCTTACTCTCTAACCTGTCTGAACTTGTTCTGTTGCATCCGACCGGAGAAACCGGTCCAAGTACTTTCAGGGCTGCTCACGTCTGCAACGCTTCTATAACGTAAACTTTCCTAATTGTTACTGACACGAGGAGGTTACAAAACAACTCACGTATGCACCAATCCAAGACAACTAACGTTCACATAAGACACACGTTTTGTTTTACGAAGGAGATAGGTTTCGCTTTGCTGAGTCACGTGCTGTTGCAGATCCGGAGAATATAGAGGCTTCGGATTTGCAGAGGAAGCTCGAGATGCTCAACAATATTATGGATCAGGAGGCGAGGTTGGAGCAGGCGAAGAGGCAGATGCAGTATTTTGGACACTGTAAGTGGGAATGTTTGCTGTGTGCATGGAATGCGTGGGAGGGGTGAGTACGGAGGTTAAAGGGACGGCGTGGGTGCTAATTTTATCAAAGTGGATTCATCCGCTGGGTAGAAAACTCTAATTGGGAGGATTGCATTAGTCGATGCAGACAGGGGTTTTAAAATAAAATTAAAATTAACGGAGCTTTGATGTTTTTTGTGTTACATGGCTGCATGTTTCGAGGGATGGCGAGTCTACGGTTTTCTATTGATTAGTTGGGGGTGTTGCGTTGTTAATAAAGCAGACTGGTTAACTATCATGAAATTTATACTCAATTAAAAACCAAATAGGTAAACAAATTGGACTGCACTTAGAACTTTCCTCCCCTTGAATAAGTCAGACAGTAAGGGGTCATCTAGGGTTAAAAATCGGTCTAAAGAATTTATACGAAACTTCGCTCACTTTGATGATAATTTTTGTCATTATCTACTAAGGTTGGGTAGACTCTAGCAATCTAAACATTCTGAATATACTCGCTTCGCGCCATATTCTGTCTAAATAACTTGAGACCAATTTCTTTGTGGTGCGAAATTCAAGGAAAGTATTCAGGGTCTGTTTTTAAGGCAATAAAATCTCGGGGTTCCAGTGTTTTTAAAAAACTCGGACCCTTTTATTAAAGAAAGTTACACAATTTCAAGGTCCCCTGGTGTCTTTTGAAAGAATCTCAGAGTTCCTTAGTATTTTCTTTTAGAGAAGGTAAAAAAATCTCCGAGTGCCATAGGGCTTTATTTAAAAAGACTAAAAGACACTCTGGGTTCCTTGATGTCCCTTTTTAAAGAAGTTGAAAGAATCTCCGTTTCCCTTAGTCTTTTTCTAGAGAATCTTAAAGAACCTCGGAGCCCTCCAGTGTTTTTTTTAATAACCTAAGAGAGTCTCGAGGGACCCAAGGGTTTTTTTCTAGAGAAGCTGAAACTATCTAGAAGTTTCCTGTTAGAAAAACTGAAAGAATCTTGAAGTATCATTCGGTTTTTGTTTAATGCTGAAAGATTCTCCCTAGGATCCCTATCCTCTAGCATCTTTTTCTAGAGAATCAAAAAAATCTCGGGATCCCGAAGTGTCTATTTTTAGATACTTTTTTGTAGAGAAGCTGAAAGAATTTCTTTATTTTTTTTTAGAAAAACTGAAAGAATCGCGAGGTTTCCTAGGTTTTTTTTTATAAACTGAAAATATCTAGGGGCCCTCTAGCGTCTTTTTCTAGAGAACCAAAGAAATCTCGAGTACTGGAGTGTCTATTTGTGGAAAAGCTGAAAAGATCTGGGGAGGAGCCCAAGTATCTACTTTTAAGAGAAACTGAAAGAATTTCGTGGACTTACAGTTTTTCTTATAGAAACTGAAAGAATTTCGAAATCCCTATGGTCTTTTTTTAGAGAAGCTGAAATATTCTCATGGGCCCCAAGTCTTTTTTTTAAAGAAGCTGAAAGAATATTGGAAGCCCCAAGTGTCTTTTTTTAGAGAAGCTGAATGAATCTAGGGACCCGTAGTTTTTTTTATAGAAACTGCAAAAATCTTGATGTGCATTAAACTCTTTTTTTTTAAAGCTGAAAAGGATCTCGGGGACCCCTAGTCTTTTTTTAATGGAAATTGAAAAAATCTCGTGGACCCTAGTTTTTTTTAAGAAACTGAAATAATCTCGGTGACCTCTAGTTTTTTTTTAAAGAAACTGAAGGGATTTCGGAGTATCCTGAAGTCTTTTTTAGAGAAATTTAAAAAATGTCTTGTTTTTCGAGGAGTTGAGAGAATCTCGGGAGTAACCAGTGTATTTTTTTTTGAGAAACTGAAAGAATTTCGGGGACGCGAATTTGTTTTATAGAAATTGAAAAAATCTCGAGGTGCCCTAAGGTTTCTTTTTTAGAGAAGCTGAAAGAAACCCAAGGATCCTTAGTTTTTTTCATAGAAACTGAAACTTGAGGCCCCCTAAGCTCTTTTTTCAGGGAAGCTGAAAGAATTTAGTACGCCCCAAGTCTCTTTTTGAAAGAAGCTCTAAGAATCTCGAAGGGCCCAAGTATCTACTTCTAGAGCAACTGAAAGAATATCGAGGGCCCCTAATTTGTTTTAGGGAATCTGAAAGAATCTGAGTGTCTCAAGTCTCTTTTTTTAGAGATACTGGAAGAATCACTGGAGCCCTAGTTTTTTTTTATAGAAACTGAATGAATCTCACCAAAGGTGTTTTTTGAAAAGCTCAAAAATCTCGGGGATCCCTACTAAAAACCTCTCGAGGTCCCTTAATGTCTTGTTTAGAGAAAATGAAAGAATCTTGAGGATCCCTAGTTGTTTTCATAGAAATTGAGAAACATCTTAGGTTTTGTTTTCTTTTTTGAGACGGTGAAAGAATCTCAAGGACCCCTAATTTATTTTAGAGACTCTAAGAAAATCTCGATTTTCTCTAAGGTCTTCTTTTAGAGAATCTGACAGAATCTCGGGGGTCCCAATTGTCTTTCTTTAGAGATACTGAAAGAATCTCGAGGACCCCAAGTTTTTTTTATAGAAACTGAAAGAATCTCGCGGACCCCTATTTTTTTATAGAAACCGAAACGATTTCGAATCCCCTAAGGTCTTTTTCTACACAAACTGAAAAAAGCTCGGAGGTCACAAGTGTCTTTTGTGAGGTACTGAAAGAAAATTAGAGACCCCTAATTTTTTATAGAAACTGCAAGGATTTAGAAGTCCCCTAAGGTCTGTTTCTGGAAAACTGAAAAAATTTCGATGTTCCCTAAGGTCTTCTTTATAGAAAAGTTGAAAAAACTCTGGGGTCCCCAGTGTTTTTTTTTTTTTGAGAGACTGGATAAATCTCGGGGACTTCTAATTTTTTTTTATAAAAACTCAAAGAATCTCACCTTGGTTCTTTTTTTGAGAAGCTGAAAAACCTCGAGGAACCTTAATGTTTTTTAAAGAAATTAAAAAATCTCGAGGTCTCCTGAGGTATTTTTTTAAGAAACTGAAAGAATCTCAGGGACTCCAAGTGTTTTTTATAGAAACTGAAAGAATCTCGAGGACCCCTAGTATTTTTTTATGGAAATAGAAAAAATCTCGGTGCACCCCAAGATTTTCTTTTTAGAGAAAATGAAAGAATCTCGAGGACCCCTAGTGGTTTTTTTTTTGAACTGGAAGAATCTCTCCGTAGGGGTTTTTTTGAAATAATCTCGTGGACCCCTATTTTTTTAAGAAATTGAAAAAATCTCGAGGTCCCTTAGGGTTTTTTTAGAGAAGCTGAAATAATCTCGGGGACCCCTAGTGTCTTTTTTTGGAGAAGCTGAAAGAATTTCGAAGTCCCCTAAGGTCTTTTTTAAAAAAAAACTCGATGGCCCCAAAGATTTTTTTTAGAGAAGATGAAAGAATCTCGAGGAGCCCTAGGTTTTTTTTTTATAAAAACTGAAAGAATCTCGGCGAAGGTGTTTTTTTGAAATAATCTCGTGGACCCCTATTCTTTTAATAAATTGAAAAAATCTCGAGGTCCCTTAGTTGTTTTTTTAGAGAAGCTGAAATAATCTCGGGGACCCCTAGTCTCTTTTTGGAGAAACTGAAAGAATTTCGAAGTCCCCTAAGGTCTTAAGATTTACTTTTTAGAGAAACTGAAAGAATCTTGGGGCACCAGACTTTTTTTATATATTGAAAGAATCTCGGGGACCCTTAGTTTTTTTATCAAAACTGAAGAATCTCGCCGAAGATGTTTTTTTGAAATAATCTCCTGGACCCATATTTTTTTTACAGAAATTGAAAAAATTTCGAGGTCCCCTAGGCTTTTTTTGGAGAAGCTGAAAGAATCTCGGGGACTTCTAGTTTTTTGTTTAGATACTGAAAGAATCTCGGGGACTCCTAGTTCTTTTATAGAAAACGAAAGAATCTCGAGGACCTCTAGTTTTTTTTATAAAAACACAAAGATTCTCACCTTGGGTCTTCTTTTAAGAAGGTGAAAAACCTCGAGGACCCTTAATGTTTTTTAAAGAAATTAAAAAATCTCGAGGTCTCCTGAGTTATTTCTTTAAGAAACTGAAAGAGTCTCGGGGACTCCAAGTGTTTTTTATAGAAACTGAAAGAATCTCGAGGACCCCTAGTTTTTTTTTTGGAAATTGAAAAAATCTCGATGCACCCCAAGATTTTCTTTTTAGAGAAAATGAAAGAATCTCGAGGAGCCCTAGTGTTTTTTTTATAAAAACTGGAAGAATCTCTCCGTAGGTGTTTTTTTGAAATAATCTCGTGGACCCCTATTTTTTAAGAAATTGAAAAAATGTCGAGGTCCCTTAGGGTTTTTTTAGAGAAGCTGAAATAATATCGGGGTACCCCTAGTGTGTTTTTTTGGAGAAGCTGATAGAATTTCGAAGTCCCCTAAGGTTTTTATTAAAAAAAATCTCGATGGCCCCCAAGATTTTCTTTTTATCGATGATGAAAGAATCTCGAGGACCCCTAGGTTTTTTTTATAAAAACTGGAAGAATCTCGCCGAAGGTGTATTTTTGAAATAATCTCGTGGACCCCTATTATTTTACAGAAATTAAAAAATCTCGAGGTTCCCTAGGGTTTTTTTAGAGAAGCTGAAAGAATCTCGGAGACTCCTAGTGTTTTTTTTGGAGAAGCTGAAAGAATTTCGAACTCCCCTAAGGTCTTTTTTAAAAAAATCTCTATTCCCCCCAAGATTTACTTTTTAGAGAAACTGAAAGTATCTTGGGGCTCCAGAGTGTCTTTTTTTAGATACTGAAAGAATCTGGGGGACCCCTAGCTTTTTATAAAAACTGAAAAATCTCGCCGAAGATGTTTTTTTGATTATTGCACTCACATGTCACATGATGTCAACTGACCAATCAAACGCGTCAATATTTGTAAATTCAACCAATCAGCATACAATTACGTGATAATTGCACACTGTGCAATTACCACTACCGATAATTATCACTAGCCAGATGTGCCAACTATAAGATAAGCAAGTACCAGTTAATTGCAAAAAA